AAGGCTTAAAGCCAGGGAGTGTTTTGTGCATGCTCTTCATTTTCGGAGCTGTAAACCATCCTCAGTGCAATCCCCATCGTTCAGCAGCATGAGGCTCCTTACAGCCCCAGCCTGTGACCCCACATTAAAGGTGGCTGAGTGATTCATTCTGAGCAGTGCTGCTCCTCGCAGTGCCTGTGCCACTAGAAGGCACTCTCTGCTAGAAAGTCGGGAAAAGAAAAGATTTTCATTAAATAATTCCATGTGGGCACCTCCAGGAAAAGTGCAGACTCAGGTTTAATGTCAGAGAAATGCTGGATACAGGCTCTGGCTGTGGTTACAGCTGCTTGCCAGCCAAATGGTAGAATTGACATTATTTCCCTTTGGAGGGCAGTGCCGAGTGTATTTACAGTGTGAAGGACTGAACTCCACGAGCTTTGAGGTCTGGGGGAAGGGCCAGTGAGTGACTCCAGCACTTGCCCGGGGTTTGGAGGACAGGCAGGTGACATCTGCAATTCCACAGGAACCTCTGGCAAACCAGTTCCCTGTGGCTCAGCCACCTGAGGATGATGCCTCAGGTTTTGGCTTTTCTATTTTCCACATTCTGTGCTGCTCTAGTGTGTGGGTCTGGGCTCACATCAGGGGATGCTGAGCTCTGTGCACAGAGCAGGGACACAAAACAATTCCTGCTCCAGCTGGGCACCAAGGACAAATGATCCAAATCTCAGCCCCAAGAGCACAAACACCGTGGGCTGGAGAGAGAAAAACAAGCAGGGTGGGACTGCAGGGGCTGAAGCTGGAATGGGACAATGAACTGCAAGGTGCAAATGGAGCAGAGCTGATCCAAGGGAGAGACCCCGGGAGCACTCGTGCATTTTGGGGCCATTTTGGTTCATCTTGGGTTCATTTTGGGGCCATTTTGGTTCATCTTGGGTTCATTTTGGGGCCTTTTTGGTTCATCTTGGGTTCAGTTTGGGACCATTTTGGTTCACCTTGGGTTCATTTTGGGGCCATTTTGGTTCATCTTGGGTTCAATTTGGGACCATTTTGGTTCATCTTGGGTTCAATTTGGGACCATTTTGGTTCATCTTGGGTTCATTTTGGGACCATTTTGGTTCATCTTGGGTTCAATTTGGGACCATTTTGGTTCACCTTGGGTTCAATTTGGGACCATTTTGGTTCATCCTGGGTTCATTTTGGGAACCATTTTGGTTCATCTTGGGTGCAGCCCTGGCTGGGCTCTTGTGCTGCCCAAGGTGGATCCATTGAGGAGATCCTTTTAATAAATCCCTGCTTTATTCTGTAGCTCTGTCCAGCCTCTGTTCTAGCTTAGCCTTCCCAAGGCATCAGGGAAGGGAACCAAGGGGACTTTCCTGGGGATGTTAAGAGAGTCAATTTAAAGGGGGACAGGAAACATCAGCTGGCACAAAGGCTCCCTGCCAAAACCAGACCGGCAGATGGAGCCCAACAATTCCTCTGTCCCACAGCAGGCAGTGATGGGGGGGATATAAGAAAATAAAGATAGTGTAGAAAGTAATCTCACCCCCAAGGAGGTGCAGCTGGGCCAATTATGAAAGATTAGGGACAGGCCTGACTTTAACAAGCCACAGCTGTAAGCAATGAGAAGAATATGCTATAAAAGAGTGGGGTGGTGTTAAGAAGGGAACTGGAGCCAGTTGGCTGCTTTGTGAGGAAGAAAGAGTAGGTGCTGTGAGGAGATGCTCAGGAGAAACACCAAGAACAGCCAAAAGTATGAAACTTTTGTGATAAGGAGACAACAGCATGGAACCCCTGTGACAGGATGATAACACAGTGACAGCTGCCTGGCCCTGAGGGAGCTGGGCTCACCCTGTGGGAGGGGAGGCTCCAAAGCTGGCTCCTGCCTGGGGTCAGTGCCACAGGTCAGTGTGTCACCGGCTCTCTCCAGCCTCATTCGGTGCCTGCAACAGATGCTGCTGGCTGAAAGCTGCAGTCTTATTTACTGTACGTTGTCTTTAAGGCAGAGATTAAATGAAAAATCCTCTTAAGGATATCACAGCTCTGGATCATTTATCAGTAGGCAGAAGTGTTTAAAATATGCTTTTATTAGAATGCTGTTCCTCTGTCCAGAATAACATTCCTGCTATAAAGACAGGAATTAGGAAACCAGAAGAGATGAAACAGCAATGTCAAATTTATTTGTGTTGCCCAATGTAAGATACACAGGCCACACAGCTCCTGTGATATTTGATTTATTTCTCAGTTCTCAGGTCTTAATTCAAACCCAGCACTGCTGTTAAAGATTGCCTGCACAATCTGTGGCTGAAGACTTGCATTAGGTCACTCCTAATTTCTGTCACAGAAAAGCAGTGATTCTGTTTGCTGTTCCTAATGCAGATCCTTGAAAGAGCCTTGTCCTAGGTTGGAAATGCACAATGTGGCCAAGGGTGTGTATTCTACTGCCATCTGTCAGAGGTGGGCAGTTATCTCTGTTCATTGGGCAGTTTTATTTATCCCTTCCACAACCAATCCTCCCTCCAGGAGATCTCTTCTGTTCATGGGCCACTAATTATTAATTATCTTCTGTTAATGGGCCAGTGAGTGTCCCTGCATGGCTGATCCAATCCCATCATCCCATGGGGAGATGCTCCGCCCAGGGGAGGAGCCAAGCATTCCTGCCTGGATACAATCTGAGGTTTGGAGCACCACAGCAACCTTTTCCTGCTGGATTCCCAGAGGGAGCCCAGGCCCATCTCCAGCAGCCCTGGAGCTGCAGAGGAAAACTCCCCCCTTGTGCAGGATCCCTGCTGCAGCAGAGCCACAGCTGGCACTGCAGGAGGGCTGAGCCCCCCTGGGATGGGGCTGGGACACCTCCCTGACACACAGGGGGCAGGGCCTGCTCTCACTCTGTCCACAGTTTATTTGTTTGTACTATTACATTGTACTATTTGCATTTTTAATTTTCCTAATAAAGAACTGTTATTCCTGCTCCTATATCTTTGCCCGAGAGCCCCTTAATTTCAAAATTATAATTCAGAGGGAGGGGTTTGCATTTTCCATTTCAGGGGAGGCTCCTGCCTTCCTTAGCAGACACTTGTCTGTTCAAACCAAGACAAATATCTACAGTTGAAATGGGGCTCTGAAGAGAAGCAGGGCTGGGAGAGGATGGCAATGGAAACTCAGAGTAGGTGCAGGGAAAAGCAGCTAAAATCAGTCAAATGTTACATTTATGAGGAAAAATATCCCAACTGAACAATGACTGGAGTCTTTCCAGTGACTGGAAAAATACAGCTGCTTCTTAAAGCTGAAATTGTTTTCCTGGAAGTTATTCTGCTAGAATAAACTTGAGGAAAGCAGGATTACTGCTGCTGCACAGGGAGCACCGACCATGGAGGAACACAGCCAGATGAGGACTTATTATACATCATATATATAAGAGAATATTCATGTATAAACAAAATATCAAATTATTATCCACTTTAATATGCTTTCCTATATTCTAATTAATAATTAATTATAATTATTAATTAGAATATAGGAAAGCATCTTAAAGTGGATATTACTATAATAATATATATTATTATTACTATTTCTACATTGTTATTATTTCTATTTAGAAATAGTAATAATAATATTACTACTATTAACTAAAAACTAAAAATAATACTAAAAACTATTATTATTACTAAAAACTAATTTATTACTAAAAAGTAATAATAATATTATTACTACTATTATTATTACTATTTCTAATTAATATTTTTCCTATACTCTGATGAGCTGCTAAAGTCTAGATCTGCCAGGGCACAAATCATCACCTTTTTATTATACAGAGCACCCCTGGATTTTTAGACTTTCCTGTGAGCAGCAGCTGTGCTAAAGTCTTTTTATAACTCACAACTAAATATAATCTCCCGTATAATTATATATTTATGCTAGATTGTGCTGTAACACACACGAGCTGGCTGTTTGTTACCACATAACCGTTTATTAGATTTTTTTTTTTGAAATGATATTACAAAGGACCTAAGGCTGGTATTACAAGTATATATTGATACATTTCTCATGTTCACAAAATTCCCCCGTTATTATGAGCTTTTATTACAGTGAGTTTGGAAAAATGACCTGTCATATTGCCTTCTCAGCACTCAAGTGCTAATTTGGTGGCATTTAAGGAGCAGCTGAAGTGTGGTGCACCTGCAACTGCTGCCTGCCACTAGTGCTTGCTGAAATTTGCATTTGAAGCTGGAGGAGCATTGCAGTGATTGTCAGGAATGGCTGACATTGGTCATTTTTCTTCACAAGTGACACAGTGCAGACTCTCCCAAACACACCTTCCGTGGCCAAAATGTAATAAATACACACTCCATGCCCAAAGATGTGGGTATGATTAGAAAAGCAAACCAAAAAAAAATCAAATATTTTGAAGTTATTCTGAGAGAAGGCTTTAAAAATCTACCTGGATTCTCTCATTTTTTGTTCATGTATCACTGCTTTGCTAGCAAGCTGCTGTGAGCAAGGCAGTGATTGCCACTGAAAACCCTACACAGACATTGCCACAACCACTGTCAATCAATCCCACCCCTTTAATCCAGTTATGGATCAAAGGGACATGTTAAAAACCTTCAGTCCCACGGTGAGATTGCTCTGTGAGCAGTTCCTGGTGTCACAGCTGGGGTGGCAGTGGCTGCTCAGATGTCTCTCATGGTCACTCTGCATCTCCTTGATGCTCCAGGAACACACAGCTCAGGGAACACCAGCAGCAGGAGAGATGGTTTTGATGTTCAGTGCCTCTTGTTTCCAAAAATCACCTTTATTACATGGATGAAAGACAACACAATCCTCAACTAGAGAGTGCCTGATGCTCAGAGCTACAATGAATGCAATTAATTAAGTTTCAATCTTGTGCTTCACTCCACAAACTTACAAGGCAAGGTTCCCATTTGGAGGGAGTCACTAAATGCTGAGCTATCAAACATGAAACATCTACAAAAGTACAGGAAAGAGAAAAAAGTGACTCCACAAAAAAATACACCCAGGAGTTGAGATCCATAAGATCTGTGTTTTAATAACACAACCAAGTGATCCTCGTTACAAGAATTCAAAAAGTGAAATTACAGTACACAAAATCAAAATAGAAACTACCCTACCCCAACTATACAATGTACATTAGGAATGCAAGCTCTGTAACAATATAAAAATGCTTTCACACACTGGAGTTGCAAAGAGCCATTTTTTAATTCCAAGGATTTGTAGAAAAAAAAAAGAGTAAGTAATCTTCCATGACTTGAGTTGTTGGCAACCTGTTGGGGAAAAAAATAATAAGAAAGGAGATTACTGAGAATTAACAGAATGATGCTCATCAGAGATTTTCATTTGTGAGGTTCAGGCTAATGGAAATGACACTGAGGGCAACAAAGCCAGTAATGATTTGTGTTTTTAACAAGGTAACACAAAAATAGACACCTTAACAAGCAAGAACATATCTGTTCCAAACACAGGCCCACTGTAATACAGGGCAAGTGGGCAATCAGAAAGAATAAGAATATATAATATAACAGAATATATAATATAACAGAGCTTTACTGAAAGGTGAATTGCATTCCTCCAGGGACATGGATTGCACAATGCCTGAGTGCCCTTCCACACAGGCAGCACCTGCAGCTTGGCAGCTGGGAGGGAGGCACTGCTGAGGAGGAATTTACAGCTGAGGAGGAATTTACAGCTGAGGGACTCCTCAGCAGCCCCTGGGGCTCCACCTGGGCAGTTGCTCCAAAGCCTGAGTGCCTTTTCCATGGAGAAATCCCTCCTGGTGTCCACCCTGAGCCTGCCCTGGCCCAGCCTGAGGCCATTCCCTCTCCTCCTGTTGCTCCCTGGGAGCAGAGCCTGTCTCCTCCTGTCAGGAGTTGTGCAGAGCCAGGAGAGTCCCCCTTGAGACTCCTTTTCTCCAGGCTGAGCCCCCTCAGCAGCTCCTGGTGCTTCATTCCCTACCCTGGCCATGCTCCCTCTCTCAGAGCAGCCCCCAAACCAAGGAGCAGCTCCCTCTGTGTTAGAATCAGCAATTCCAAACACCCAGGGCTTTGTTTCCTCCCCCTGTCCCTGTTCCCTGGGAGCAGATCCCTAACCCCCCTGGCTGTCCCCTCCTGTCAGGGAGTTGTGCAGAGCCAGGAGAGTCCCCCTGAACCCCCTTTTCTCCAGGCTGAGCCCCCTCAGCAGCTCCTGGTGCTCCACTCCCTACCCTGATTCTCTCTCCATCACAATCCCCCAGAGCAGCCCCCAAAAAGTGACAGTCATCAATTCCACACTGCCAGGGGTGTGTTCCAAAGCCAGGATTTACTTTAGCCCTTGTTGGAAGCCGGGGTCTTGTTCTCCCCCTCGAGCTCCTCCACGCCCGCCTGCATCATCAGGTCGGCGATGTTGCGCTCCAGGTCATCGATGCGGCAGCTCATGTCATCGACTGCGCGGGGGTCAAGGGACAACAGGGACACAGCAGGGACAGGGACAGCCCAGGGACACACAGCTCATGTCATCGACTGCGCGGGGGTCAAGGGACAACAGGGACACAGCAGGGACAGGGACAGCCCAGGGACACACAGCTCATGTCATCGACTGCGCGGGGGTCAAGGGACAACAGGGACACAGCAGGGACAGGGACAGGGACAGCCCAGGGACACACAGCTCATGTCATCGACTGCGCGGGGGTCAAGGGACAACAGGGACACAGCAGGGACAGGGACAGCCCAGGGACACACAGCTCATGTCATCGACTGCGCGGGGGTCAAGGGACAACAGGGACACAGCAGGGACAGGGACAGCCCAGGGACACACAGCTCATGTCATCGACTGCGCGGGGGTCAAGGGACAACAGGGACACAGCAGGGACAGGGACAGCCCAGGGACACACAGCTCATGTCATCGACTGCGCGGGGGTCAAGGGACAACAGGGACACAGCAGGGACAGGGACAGCCCAGGGACACACAGCTCATGTCATCGACTGCGCGGGGGTCAAGGGACAACAGGGACACAGCAGGGACAGGGACAGCCCAGGGACACACAGCTCATGTCATCGACTGCGCGGGGGTCAAGGGACAACAGGGACACAGCAGGGACAGGGACAGCCCAGGGACACACAGCTCATGTCATCGACTGCGCGGGGGTCAAGGGACAACAGGGACACAGCAGGGACAGGGACAGCCCAGGGACACACAGCTCATGTCATCGACTGCGCGGGGGTCAAGGGACAACAGGGACACAGCAGGGACAGGGACAGCCCAGGGACACACAGCTCATGTCATCGACTGCGCGGGGGTCAAGGGACAACAGGGACACAGCAGGGACAGGGACAGCCCAGGGACACACAGCTCATGTCATCGACTGCGCGGGGGTCAAGGGACAACAGGGACACAGCAGGGACAGGGACAGCCCAGGGACACACAGCTCATGTCATCGACTGCGCGGGGGTCAAGGGACAACAGGGACACAGCAGGGACAGGGACAGCCCAGGGACACACAGCTCATGTCATCGACTGCGCGGGGGTCAAGGGACAACAGGGACACAGCAGGGACAGGGACAGTCCAGGGACACACAGCTCATGTCATCGACTGCGCGGGGGTCAAGGGACAACAGGGACACAGCAGGGACAGGGACAGTCCAGGGACACACAGCTCATGTCATCGACTGCGCGGGGGTCAAGGGACAACAGGGACACAGCAGGGACAGCTCAGGGATGGCTCAGGGACACACAGCTCATGTCATCGACTGCCCGGGGGTCAAGGGACAACAGGGACAGGGATAGCCCAGGGACAGGGACAGCAGCCTCAGCAGGCACCTCAGAGCCCCCCTCAGCCCACGCTGGGCACTGCCAGGCTCTCAGCACGCTCACAGGGGCAATTCCTGATTTCCAAAATCCCATCCCACCCTGCTCTCCTCAATCTGAGCCCATTCTCCCCCTCCTGTCACTCCAGTCCCATTTCACTTCAGGCCACAATTAAACCACCCTGAAGTTTCACTTTTGCAGGTGAACATTCCCAGCTCTGCCAGCCTTTCCTCCAGCAGAGCTGCTCCATCCTCTGATCAGCCTGGAGCCTCCTCTGGTCCCTCCATTCCCAGCCCCAGCACTGAAGTGACAACATTGCCCACTTCAAACCTCTCTTACAAACCCTACTGGCCCACAGACTCAGTGACACTTGCAATCCCGCCCCCATCTGAGTTTAGAAAAGGATATTTCTTCCAATGATTTGGTCAGACATGGTTTGAAACTTGTCCTGCATTTGCTGGAGCAATGTCTGCACCTAATAGAAAGGGATAAAAAAGAAATGGTTTGTTTCCTTCAGAGGCTGTTACCCAACACCGTTCTTTCACTGCTAAGCCCAAACCCCTGCAGTACAGTTATACCTAGAGCTAAAAATGCTCTAGGTATAAATATACGTATAACGAGGTGTTACAGGAAATATTTGTAAGATTTAGAACCCGGCCGCCTCCCCAACCAGGACCAAAGCCTGGACAGCACCTCCATGGCCCTGGTAATGTCCATAGCCCTGGTAATGTCCGTGGCCCCGTTAATGCCCATGGCCCTGTTGATATCCATGGCCCCGTTAATGTCCGTGGCCCCGTTAACCACAGGGGGATTCTGTGAGGTCACAGAACGGGTTGTGATGAGGGCCCCCTCTCCTTCCACCCCCTGCATGACCAGCGACCCCTCCCGCGGAGCAGCTGCTCTATCCAAGCCCCATCCATAAGCGGGTTTTCCCTCCTCCCCCGGCTCTCCGCAGCCCCCGCAGCCCGGCCCGGGCCTCACCACGGCCGTCAGGTCCTGGACGCTCTTGGGGTCGGTCTCGGCCATGGTGCCTCCGGCGGCGGCTCCACTTCCGGGCCGCGCCCCGCCGCTTCCGCCAGCTCTCGCGAGAGCGCCCGCCCCGCGGCATTGTGGGAAATGTAGTCCTGAGGCCAGCTCCCGGTAGTCCACAGACAGGCCCAACAATTAAAAATTTTCATTATTTCTACATTTCGGCTGAAAATTGCGGCGTTCTCTTATTAATTAGCCTTCTGTCTTCTATTGGTTATTGCTGTATGCGTGGTTTTAAATCATTCTATGTAAAGAGCTTCTCTGCTCTAAATATTATACATTTTTGTTTGAATGACAGCTGTTGTCTCTGTTTAATATGCACAATTTGGTTCCTGAAGTCCTCATTTTTTTACACAAAGAAAAATTAATTATTTATTTTAATAAATAATAAATTATGAAATTTATTATTTATTATTTATTAATAAAATTGTATTATTTTAAAATTATTGTTTATTTTAAATAATAATTTATTAATTATTTATTTTATTACTTTTTGTTTTGTTTTTTACTACTTTTTGTTTTGTTTTACTTCTTTTATTACTTTTGTTTTTATTACATTTTTATTTTATTACTTTTGTGTTATTTCTTTTGGGGTTTTGTGGTTTTGGTTTTGTTTTGTTTTTTGTTTTTGTTTTGGTTTTGTTTTTTTAATGCACAATATTACAATGTTCCTTTCTTTTACTTCTTGCTTTCTTCTGGACGAGCAGTTAAGTTAAGCTTAGGTAGGTCTTATCTCTTGAATGCTAACAATCTACCCAGAATTAGATGAAAATTTAAAGGATGACATTTCATGAATATCTCTTCTAGAATCCATTGACATTTCTGCTGCTTTGCTAGACAAAGCTGGATGATTTGATTATAAATACTTCATGCGGGGAGGAGAATGGGTAATTATTCTCAGTGCCTGCTCCATTAAGATTTTTTCCCCTCTTGTTAATTTTCTGCTCTGAGCAGTTTAGGGGAGCTCAGTGGTGCTGGGGCAGCACAAAAGCAATTTTTGCAGGGTACCTGCAGCATGCCAGAGCCAGGGCAATCCATCAGGGTGCTTGCAGCACTATTGATGGGCTCTGGGATGGAGTTTGACTGGAAAGATGAAGAGGAAATTAAGTATAACAGAGTGATAATGGAATGATCAATGCTGCTGGCTGCAGACTTGGTGTGTGCACTGGAAAGGAAGAGTTGTGAACTAAAAAGGAAGAGTTGAGCCCTGAAAAGGAAGATTTGTACACTGAAAAGGAAGAGTTGTGCACTGAAAAGGAAGATTTGTACACTGAAAAGGAAGAGTTGTGCCCTGGAAAGGAAGATTTGTGCACTGGAAAGGAAGAGTTGTGCGCTGGAAAGGAAGAATTTTGCCCTGAAAAGGAAGAATTGTGCCCTGAAAAGGAAGAATTTCTGTCCAATGTGGAGTGAGGGGATGAGCCTGGTGTGAAACGCAGTCATAGTGGGGCAGGGCGAACACTGGGGCTTTGCTGACAGAGCAGGGAAATAAAGAAGGATGGGATGATGTCCCAGATTCTCTTTCAAGAGAGCAGAAACAGTTCTGGGGTTTGTTTGAATAGAATTCCCTTTCCTCAGTAACCACAGTTCTGTTTTCTCTCACAGACATTGAGGGTAAAGATGGGATTTTGGAGAAATCCTTTTCCTCTAGCATTTGAGTACCCTGAGCTGTGAACCAGAAACCTCTTGCCATAAAAACTCCTTTTCTTTTGTTATTCAAAGTCTAATTTCCATGGAAAAAAGGTAAACAGGTTGGGATAAGGATTTTCTTTTTAATGGGACTCTCTCTAGAAGGAGTCTTTACCCAATAGGTGAACCAGAAACCTGTTTTCATAAAAACTCTTTTTTTGTTATTAAAAGTTGCCATTAAAACTCTTTTTTTTTTTTTTTTGTTATTAAAAGTCTGATTTCCATGGGAAAAGAAAATCATCAGTTTGGGACAAGGATTTTTTTTTTTTAATGGGACTCTCTGTAGAAGGAATCTTCACTCAATAAGTGAACCAGAAACCTGCCATAAAAACTCTTTCTTTTTGTTATTAAAAGTCTGATTTCCGTGGGGGGAAAAAATCATCAGTTTGGGACAAGGATTTTCTTTTTAATGGGACTCTCTCTAGAAGGAGTCTTTACCCAATAGGTGAACCAGAAACCTGTTTTCATAAAAACTCTTTTTTTTGTTATTAAAAGTTGCCATAAAAACTCTTTTTTTGTTATTAAAAGTCTGATTTCCATGGGGGAAAAACGTCATCAGTTTGGGACAAGGATTTTCTTTTTAATGGGACTCTGCAGAAGGAGTCTTCACTCAATAGGAAAAACTGTGCTGAGTATTACAGGCCTCAGAGTCATCCACCATGAAACTTTTTGGTCATAAATGTTCCTAAAAACTGATCCTGGCAGGAAAACCTCTGTGTCCCACCTTGGGAGCCCTCCACAGTCTGTAGGACTGCTCTCTGTGGCAGACAAGGCTGCAAAATTCTCTCTGGGCAACGCCATTTGGAATTTTGGGTGGTTTTAATGGCTCCCACAAGGGAAAAAGAGGCTTCTGAGTGTCTGATTGCTTGTAGGATGCGGCATTTATTATTTATCCTGCATGCTTTTGTTGCTGCTTGCTGCTAAACATCCTCATCCTCGGGGGTTCCAGGGCTTTTATAGGATGTCAATTCTCAGGAAGTCATTATGGGATTCATCAGGGATCTCCATCTCTTTCCCATCCTTCCATCCACACAGGAGCCTCAGTGTCCCCTCAGTGTTTTATTTTGACTCGTTGCAAAGCCCAAGGGATGGATTTCTGCCCTCTGGAGTTTCCACCACAGCCACTGAGGTCTTTATTGACAGCATCTGACGCACCCTCTGCAATGTTTTCAGCTGCTTTCCTCAGCGAGATCAGATTGTGAACCAGATAATGGGATTGCTTTATCCCAATCATATGGTTTAAAATATCTTGTGGGGTCAAAATTTCATTATTTTAATCTTTCATTGACCATTACATGAACCCTTGCAATTCCCTGTGGCTTTTCTAGAAAACTAAATTGCTTAGCAGTGGCTTGTACCAAATCTTTTTATAACATCCTTGAAGAGTCAGGAGCTTTCTAAGACAAGATCTCCTTCTAAAACTCCTTTCCCACACAGTAAACTTTTATTTCTTACCATTACTGGCCATTCAGATGCTGTGTCATTTACCTTTGTTTTCTGTTTAATGCTTAGCTGAGTTTGAAGCCATTCACAAGGCAATCAGCATTTTGGCTTTACATTTTTGTAGAAAAATTGTACAGAAAGTTTAATTAACTAATTATGTACCCACAGTGAGTCATAACAGCCTGGTAATTCAGAACTGCAGCAGTCTGACCATCACCAGAGTAATTCTCTGTGTGCTTTAGGGGATGCCAATCACGACATTGGTGCTCTGAAATTGGCAGTTTTGGCCAAAACAGAAAGATTTGAATTGATATTTTGGGGAACCATTTGAATATGGAAGCCAGCTGCCAGTTTCAGAGATGATTAGGGTTTTAAAAGCCTGGGATGAGCAGGAATTTTCCAGAAATAGGGCATTCAGAGAGGAGCTGTCTGAGCAAGGGTGTCTCATGAAGCTCTTCACCATCACTGCCCTCCTTGGGTTGTGTTTTCAACCCACTGTGAATAAATTTCAGCCCCCCAGCACATGATTGCATGGATCTTTATAGTTAATTGCATTCAAAATTAGAGGGGTTGGGGATTTTCTTCTTTTCCCTCTATTTTTGTGAAAGGTTATTTGTAAGTGTGTTCATTTTCAAACTGGATGCAACCTGAGCCAAAACTCTGCAGTGTTTACTCCACAAATCTGGATTTGGTCAAACTCTTTATTTCATATCTTCAACCCCCTGGTTTTTCCCATCCCTTCCCCTCTGGAAGCATCAATAGCAGTTAATAAAAACCTCCCAGAGCTGGGCTAATGATCCCTTCAAAATGAGCAGGGAATAAATTACAGCAGGAACCACACTAGGTAGATGACATGATTTAACTGAGCTGAGTCCCTGAAGAATTAGTCTGGTGATTATGGGAAGTGTCTTTTTAAATGAGGTAATTTGAAATCAAGTCTCTTTTCCATATCTACTCAGCACAGTCCATTGTTCAGAGCCTGTGGCTCAGGTTGGTATCTGATGTTTGAAGCAGCTTTGCCCAGAGTGTCTCCTGATGAGTTTAAAGTAATTTCAGACCCTTTCATTCCTGAATGCTGCACTTGCAGTGAGATTAGGCAGCAGAGCGGTTAAAGTGAGTTTTTCCATTGCTAAAAAAGGTGCTGCTGTATAATTCAGAACTCCTCAACAGAGACAATAATTTAAAAGACTGGAAGGCTGAAAATAATCCAGCTTGAGGGACTGCCTGCTGTCCAGAGCTCCTGCAAGCTGCAATTCCTTTTGCTTTCTGATATTCCCCATGGATTCTCCCAGATCAGGAGCTGCTGGGGAGCAGAAATGCAGGGAGAGCCTGGACACTGTGCTCTGTGCAGCTCAGCCGGGCAAAGCAGAGCAGTGGCGCTGAAACAGCAGGAGATTCGTGATTCCAGATCGTCAGGGATCTGCCTTTTACACTCTCCTGACAGAAATCATCAGGGATCCACTGAAATCTCCCATTTATCACAGGAAATTCAGGCTGGGACATTGAGGGGGTCTGGGTCATGGTTGCTGCCAGGCACAGAAATGTTCTGAGTGGGTGAGGGGGTGAAAAGCATTTTTTTTTTGTAATAATAATAATAATAATAATAACCATAAAAGTATTATTAGTAATAATAATAATTATTGTTGTTGTTATTACTATTATTATTGATGTTGTGTGACAGGGTTCACAGGGGTTTTTGGATTTGGGAAGAGACGAAGGATCTGACTCCATGTTTCAGAAGGCTGATTTATTATTTTATAATATATATTACATTAAAACTATACTAAAAGAATAGAAGAAAAGGTTTCATCAGAAGGTTAGCTAAGAATAGAATAGAAAGGAATGATAACAAAGGTTTGTGGCTCGACTCTCTGTCCGAGCCAGCTGACTGTGATTG